TGTAGTCCTTGAGCCCCCGCAGCTCTTCCTGTCTGATGTGATTAAACATGGCATCTCCAAACATAATGCTGGGGACTGGAAAGAGGTGGCTCTAAGGGTGCTTGCGCTCAGCGGTGCTTACAACCTTGTGAGGTAGACACACACAAACACAAAGGTCTGGGCGCCTCTAGAGGCGGAAAAGCCTCAGATCGGAGCCAGCAGTCCCGAGGTAGTAGAGACATCATAATACATTGAAGACTTCACTCCCAGCTTAGTATGTCTTCTATATGCATTTGAGAGCAGGGCAGTAGGCCTCTTGCATATTTCACCTCAGGTGACACCCATGTTCCAACGTATTTGCCTGTGAAGATTTATACGGGATTTACTATGAGAAAGCCACAGTGGTAGCCCTGATACACTCCAGGGAATCATAAGACACTCTTTCACCTGAGTTGAGCACAGAAAAAACGAGATATTGTGAATGAATTAGGAAGAAGAAAGGAAGAAAAAAGGCAAATAGCTCCCAATTGTCTAAAACCTGGAGAACTAGAGAAATTATATTAAAAGCAGTTGTTTAAAACAGGGATGATTAGAGAAAATTGTTCAATATTAAAAAAAAAAAAGCTGTGTTCTCAAAACCATTAGGATGCCTACTATAAAAAAGAAGAAGAAGAAGAAGAAGAAGAAGAAGAAGAAGAAGAAGAAAAAAAAGAACGAGTGTTGGTGAGGATGTGGAGTAATTGGGATCCTACGCACTGTCGGTGGAAATGTAAAATGGTGCAGCCCCTATGGAAAACTGTATGATGGGTTTTAAAGAAATTAAAAATAGTTTTTCCACTTTGGGTATATACCCCCAAGAATTCAAAGCATGGCCTCGAAGAGACATTTGTATACACATGTTTATAGCAGTATTATTCACAATAGTTAAGAGATGGAAGTAACCCAAGTGTCTGTTGATTGATGAATGGATAAACAAAATATGGTGGATACATGCAATGGAATATTATCCAGCTTAAAAAGGAAGGAAATTCTGACACATGCTACAACTTGGATTAAACTTGAGAACATTATATTAAGTGAAATAAGCCAGTCACAAAAAGATACTGAATGATTCCATTTATATGAGGTATCTAAAGCAGTCAAAGTCATATAAGCAGAGGGGGGGTTGTGGTTGAGTGATTGCCACTGGCTCAGGAGAGAGGGATAGCGGGAGTTGTTTAATGAGTGTAGAGTTTCAGTTTTGCAAGATGAGAAAGGTCTGGAGATTGGTTGCCCAACAATGCGAGTGTACACTTAAAAAAATGGTTAAGGTGGTAAATTTTTTGCAGTGTGTATTTTACCACAAATAAAACCAAAAATACTTGACCAAATATACAAGCAGACCAAACCCAGCAACATATAAAAAAAAGTATATACTATGATTGGACAGGATTAACCCAGGAATGTAAAGTTGGTTTAATATCTGAAAAGCAATTAATACATCATATGTCAGTAAAATAAAGACAAAAACCCCATGATCATCTTAACAGAAGTGCAAAAAGCACTTGATAAAATCCAACATCCCTTCATGATAAAAACACTCAAAAACTAAAAATAAAAGGGAATGTCCTCAACCTGTTGACTGAATACTTTCCTCATAAGATCAGGAACAAGGCTCTTGCCACTCTGGCCACTTCTATTCTATTCTCCTCACCATTATTATTTTCATCACTTCTATTTGACTACATTGTACTGTTCTAGCCAGAACAATTATGCAAGAAAATCAAATAAAACATCCAGGTTAGAAAGATGTAACACTACTGCTATCTGTAGATGACATGATATACAAATTCTTGAGCAAGTCATTAGTACTGGGGCAACTGGCTGTGTCAGTTGATAGAGCATATGATTCTTGATCTTGGGGTCATGAGTTCAAACCCCACACTGGGTGTAGAGCATACTTTGACAAAGAAAAAAGAAGCCATTAGTGCAGCCATTTTAGAAGATTGTCAATTCCTATGGGGTGCCTGGATGGCTCAGTCGGTTAAGTGTCCCAACTCGATCTCAGCTCAGGTCTTGATCTCAGGGTCGTGAGTTTGGGCCCAGTGTTGAATGAATGAATGAATGAATATTGTCAATTTCTCACAAAACTAAACATACACTAAGCATATGATTCAGCAATTATGCTCCTTGGTATCTGCCTAAATAAGTTGATAAATCATGTCCACACAAAAACCTGCACACAGATGCTTATAGCGACTTTATTTCATAATTGCCAAATCTTGGAAGCAACCAAGGTTGCTTTTAGTAGGTGAGTGGATAAATGACCTGTGGTACATTCATACCGTGAAATAGTGGCACTAAAGAGACATGGGCCATTAAGCCATGAAAAGACATGTAGTAACCTTAAACACATATTACTAAGAGAAAGAAGGCAATCTGAGAAAGCTATATACTGTATGATTCCAACTATATTACATTCTGGAAAAGGCAAAGCCATGGAGACAATAGAAAGATCAGTGGTTGCCAAGGTTTGGGGAGAAGGAACAAACAGGAGGAACACAGAGGATTTTTAGGGTAATGATTCTATAATAATGGTGGATACATAGCATTATGCATCTGCCAAAACTCATAGAATGTAAATCAAAATGAACCCTAATGTAAACTATGGGCTTTGGGTGATAATGATATATCAATGTCGATTCATAGATTATAACAAATGGACGAATCTGGTATGGGATGCTGATAGTAGGGAGGCCGGGATAGAGGGTAAAGGGATATGGGAACTCTCTGCATTGTCAGCTTAACCCTAAATTAAAATAAAAATCTAAAAAATAAAATCTATTCAAAATGTTTTAAAAATAAAATCTATTCAAAATGTTTTAAAAATGGGGTGCCTGGGTGGCTCAGTCAGTTAAGTGTCTGACTCTTCATTTCCACTCAGGTCATGAACTCACGGTTTGTGAGTTTGAGCCCTGAGTCCGGCTGTCTGCTGACAGTGCAGAGCCTGCTTGGGATTCTCTCTCTCTCTCTCTCTCTCTCTCTCTCTCTCTCTCTCCCTCTCTCTCTGCCCCTCCCCTGCTCACACTCTCCATCTCTCTCTCTTTCAAAATAAACATTAAAAAAAAAAAATTTTTTTTTAATGTTTATTTATTTTTGAGAGACACAGAGACAGAATGCGAGTGGGTTAGGGGCAGAGAGAGAGAGACACAGAAACCAAAACAGGCTCCAGGCTCTGAGCTGTCAGCACAGAGCCCGACGTGGGGCTCGAACCCACGAACCGAGAGATCATGACCTGAGCTGAAGTCGGCCGCTCAACCGACTGAGCCACCCAGGCGCCCCTAAATAAATAAACTTTAAAAAAATGTTTTAAAAATAATGATTCATGTTACAATATGGATGAACCTTCAAAACATTATGCCATGTGAAAAAAGCCAGACACAAAAGACCACATATCTTATGATTCCAATGATATGAAATGTCTGAAACAGGGAACTCAACAGACAAAAGTAGATTTGTGGTTTCCAGGGGCTGAAGGAGGAGAGAATGGGGTCGTGATGGCTAAAGGGTTTCTTTCTGGAGTGATGAAAATGTTCTGGAGTTAGATTGTGGTGATGGTTGTACAACTTTCTAAATATACTAAAAATCACTGAATTGTATACTTTTCAAGGGATAAAGTTTATGACGTGTGAATTATATCTCATCTTAATGAAGCTGTTTTTAAAAAGCAACTACGTTGTAGCCTTAGACAAGGAAAGGTAAATTTTTTTTTTTAACATTTATTTATTTTTGAGACAGAGAGAGACAGAGCATGAACGGGGGGAGGGCCAGAGAGAGAGAGGGAGACACAGAATCTGAAGCAGGCTCCAGGCTCTGAGCTGTCAGCACAGAGCCTGATGCGGGGCTCAAACTCACGGACCGTGAGATCGTGACCTGAGCGAAGTCGGACGCTCAACCGACTGAGCCACCCAGGCGCCCCGGTAAATTATTTTTTAAAATAAAAAACCCTCAAGGCTTCCAGGAGGCATTCTAGAATAATCCCTCGGTAAGCCTCAGCCCAATACTCGTCATTTTGCCCTCTGTCCCCCAGCCGCTCTAGGCATTTTGCACTGAGTGGTGTCTGCGTCTGCAGCTCTCGCCCAAGGACTGGTTTAGACACATTGTGAAAAATTAATAAAGGGGTGTGCAAAAATGGGCAAAGTGAGCGCCCCCAGGTGGCCGTAGGTCTCTGGCATCACATCTAGTTCAAGGCCTTCTGAGCCTCAGATTCTCCACCCTCCCCCGAGAAAAAATACACCACCACCGCGGCGAGGCTTGACGGCGCCCGGCCTCCTCGGCTCGGGTCTAGGCTCTGGGCTCCGCATGGGGAGCGGGGATGCAGGGGGTGCTTTGGACTTTTCCAGTCCCCAGACCCTGGAAGCTCCAACCCCAGGTCCACTGTCTTTTCCGAGCTGAGGAGACACTGCTGCGCTGGGCCCAGCGTCGGAGCTGGCCCGGATCCGGCTTCGCATGGGGGCTAAGCTGCGGTCGGAACAGAGGAATCACGGCGTCGTGGGTCACTCTGGTACTCAGAGTGGACAACGGTACAGGAAAATGCCCCCAAGAGAATATGGCGACCTGCCTTCACAACGGTCATTCAGATGCACTCGGAAAGTTGTTACTCGTTTCGGTTGACCTTATTCATTTAAGAGTCAGCTCCAAGCGCTCAGCTGCGGCTCTTGAAATTCCTAAGCCCTCTGGGCGCCGGCGGAGATTGGCTAGAGGCCGTGCCTTCTGGCGGCGCCCAGTGATTGGACCTGGTGAAATACTAGGTCTGCTCTGGTTGGTCCCTGGGGCCAGACTCTAGAACGCTGTTGCTAGGTAACGCCACACGCGTACTACCAGGTGTCCGGAGGAGGTTGTGTGTAGGGAGCCCGCATTGATCAGCGTCCTCTGAGCGTTCCACCTCTGTTCCGCTGGCCCACAGGCCTCCGGGAGTGCTTCCTGGCTGCAAAAATGAAGCCAGTTCTAGGGAGCTAAGCATATG